TTCTCATTTAGTTTCTCAATCTTTTGCATCCTATTGCATCAGTTGTTAAAAAAACAGTAGATTTAAAGATAAAAAAACGATATATTAAGTCATCGTAGTAGTTACGTATTGCAGAAAAAAAATTTTATATGTCGTGACTATCTTTACTTATTAAAGGTACTTTAAAAATTACAATTGACAATATAAAAAAAAAGATCTTTGCCAATCAAATTTATCCTTAATTTAACCAATCAAAATGAACTTCCACTATGCTAATTTTTAGTAGCTTTGTTACACAATTTATTTATGCATGGTGATAAACAGCGTGTAACCATAGACAAACTTATGCATGCAAAAAATAATTTGCTTACTTGTCAACTCATACAATGTCAAGACAATATGCGTCAAGTAGAAAATATTGAAATAATGAAAATGAACAAGTAGTTATTTTTTTTAATAGTATTTAGACCTTTTAGGTTGCCTTTTGTAAGGTTGCCCTATGCAGATGCACTTCGGATCAGCTGTCAAAATCATTCGGTAAAGGCTTCCAACAACCTAAGCCATTTGACAAGATAGTTATCTTAGACCACAAAAGTATTAATACTGAGGGCATTTCCGTTAGTGAAAAAAAGAGAGAAATGGTGGTTCGATTCCACCTTTTAGTGAGAAAAAATATTGGTGGTTTGATCCCACCTTTGTGAAAAATAAAATAGGCTGGTGGTTCGATCCACCTATTAGTGAAAAAAATATTGATGGTGGTTCGATCCCACCTACTAGTGAAAAAAATATTGATGGTGGTTCGATCCCACCTTTTAGTAAAAAAAAATGGTAAGAGAAGTGCCTGAGGTGTTAGTACTCTTTGTGAGGTTGCTCAGCATAGGTAACTCAAGATTGTTCTTAGACCGCAAAAGATATGCAATCTAAAAGCGTTCTTGTTGATAAGGTCTACAATTCCAGAAAAGGATTGTTACGTGCCTTCTTTATCGTTATTATCAAGTTTCTTTATATTGTTAATAATAAAAATATTACTGCTTAATATATACATGGAAAAGGTTGGCATTTCTATTAACCAATTTTTTATTTTATTTTATACTATAGCGATCCGCTATCAATAAAGTTACAACCTCAAAAACGAAATAGTCTGGAACTTTCAAGATATCAAACATTAATTAGTCAAAGAAATGAAATATGAATTCTAATTTATTTTTTAATAAATAGTAAGACTTCGAAAAATTGAATGAACTCCTCATAAAAGAGAATATGAATGCGTACCATATCATAATTATATTCATTGGGCATAATTGCTTAGATCACAGTATTTAGTGTTATGTATAATTCTGTATCAGCTATTTTAGAGAGCCGTAATTTGTTATTTCCTTGAAGAAGAGGTGAAATGGAACTTATTAATAAAGAAAATGTGTGTTATTTATTTTTTATTATTTTCTATTTTTTTTTTTAAACTATGATTATAACATAATTTTTACTTAAAATAATATATTAATTCTTTATTGAAGCCATCCGTCTTTTCTTGTTAAAAAGAATGCAAATTCATCCAGGGCACTAATACTTGGAGTTCTCAAGCTGGAACAAATTCATTCTGGAGGCAAGCCTTAAACTAATCCTTTGGGTTTTTTTAAAATTATGATTACAACATGCTGTCTCGATTACCAAGAGTCCCTGAATTAATAATGTTAGTAATAACTTTCAATAAAGTCTTTTCTAAATTTTTTGTTCAACTTAGACATATCCACCTGATCGTCTTATACCAGCTGTTTAGACTACTGGAGCTCGTACTATGGTGTCATGAAGCTAATTGTAAGTGAACTCAAACTTATCAATCTTGAAAGAATTGATGGAAATACATCCTCTTGAAGTCTGCGAAAAAGCTATATAGCTTTCTGGAAACGAACAAGAAAAGGCTACTTGTGGTATGAATTTGAATTAATTACACCAATTTATAAGTTCAGTCAACAATTGGATGTATTGACTATTCAATTATACAAGAATTCGATACCAACACAAGGAAAGGGTCTGATTCTATTAAGACTTCTGAACGATGTATTCCGTAGAAGAATATTAATATTTTTTGTAGAATGTCCATGCGCTCGGTAAAGTTTCAGGCATGTGCAAAGTGTTTCTTCAAATATCTTGAATATAATTATTTTAATGGTTCAATTTGCAAAATATAATAACATTTTCGCTTTTGATAGGTATCATTAAAGAAGGAACATACCCGTATTAACAAAGAGAAAGCACCCCACGATGCTGCTGCAGTTCAGTTACTTACTTATACGATCGTGGAACCACAAGTTAGTCATCAAAAACGTTAAAACCTCAAACCCAGAATTAAATGATATAGATAGATAAACCGTAAATAAAAAATACGCAACTTTTTTATATTAGAATATTAAATTCATCAATTGAAATATCAATATTGGGGTGATTCAGAATTAAGGATCAGGTTTTCGGATCAAATTAGTGATGTATTTTCGGATCAAATTAGTGATGTATTTTTGGATTAAATTAGTGATGTATTTATTTCTAATTATTTTGATTTGTAAGCTTATTTATATAATAACTTTTATGATCGTGGATTTTCTTTCAAGACTTGATAAATTTAAAATGCCTTATATTTCTGATTGGCAAGTTAAAAACAAATAGTATTTTTAGAAGTATTAATAGACTAATATTCTAATAGTACTCATAAAACGCATGGCTTATACATAAATCAACGGATTTAATAGGAGAAAAATTGCTGTATTGAAGCATAGCACAGTCCCTCTCTTTCTCACTCATCCACCACTCTCTCTTCTTCTCACTCCTCTCACTCATTTCACTCACTCACGATACACACTCTCTATTCGGTTTATTATTTAGTCAAGTAGAAATATTTACTAATTTAGTAATATCAATAAATAAATTAATTAATTAATGTATTTGACTATACTCGTTGTGAACAAATAAATTATCAAATTTACATTTAACATTTTAACCAGCAATTTACAATGGTTTACAAAACTACGCACTATTTACACATACATTTTATTTTATTTATTGACTTATTATAGAGATCGTGGTGTTTTTGAAACGTGTAATTGCTAATGCTTTTCCTCCTTCTGATCCAAGATTATTCTCACGAAGATTCAAAGAAGTCAGTGTGGAGTTTTTGCAAAGTGCATCTGCAAATGCTTTTCCTCCTTCTGATCTAAGGTTATTGCGTTCAAGATTCAAAGAAATTAGTGTGGAGTTCTTGCAAAGTGCATCTGCTAATGGTTTTCCCCCTTCTAATCCAAGTTTATTGTGTTCAATATTCAAAGAAATTAGTGTGGAGTTCTTGCAAAGTGCATTTGCTAATGTTTTTCTCCAATTTTATTGTAACCAAGATCCAAAGAAGTCAATGTGGAGTTCTTGCAAAGTGCATCTGCTAACGCTTTTCCTCCTTCTGATACAAGGCTATTAGAACCGATATTTAAAGAGATTAAGGTAGTGTTCTTGCAAAGTGCATCTGCTAATGCTTTTCCTCCTTCTGATCCAAGGCTGTTAGAACCGATATTTAAAGAGATTAAGGTGGTGTTCTTGCAAAGTGCATCCGCCAATGCTTTTCCTCCTTCTGATCCGAGATTATTCCAACTAAGATCCAAAGAAATAAGCGTGGAGTTCTTGCAAAGTGCATCTGCTAATGCTTTTCCTCCTTCTGATCCAAGTTTATTCAAAAAAAGATTCAGAGAAGTCAGCGTGGAGTTCTTGCAAAGTGCATCTGCTAATGCTTTTCCAACTTCTGATCCAAGATTATTGGCGTAAAGATTCAAAGAAGTTAGCGTGGAGTTCTTGCAAAGTGCATCTGCTAATGTTATTCCTCCTTCTGATCCAAGATTATTAAATTGAAGATTCAAATTTTTCAGTGTGGAGTTCTTGCAAAGTGCATCTGCAATGCTTTTCCTCCTTCTGATTCAAGTCTATTCAGTCCAAGATCCAAAGAAGTCAGCGTGGAGTTCTTGCAAAGTGCATCTGCTAATGCTTTCCTCCTTCTGATCCAAGACTATAAAGTTGAAGATTCAAATATTTCAGCGTGGAGTTCTTGTAAAGTGCATCTGCTAATGCTTGCCCTGCTTCTGTTCTAAGACTATAAAGTTGAAGATTCAAATATTCCAGCGTGTAGTTCTTGTAAAGTGCATCTGCTAATGCTTTACCACCTGATCCAAGATTATTCCAACTAAGATCCAAAGATTCCAGCGTGTAGTTCTTGTAAAGTGCATCTGCTAATGCTTTACCACCTGATCCAAGATTATTCCAACTAAGATCCAAAGAAATCAGTGTGGAGTTCTTGCAAAGTGCATCTGCTAATGCTCTTTCTCCTTCTGATCCAAGGCCATTAGAACCGATATTTAAAGAGATTAAGGCAGTGTTCTTGCAAAGTGCATTTACTAATGCTTTTACTCCTTCTGATCCAAGCTTATTCCCATAAAGATTCAGAAAAGTCAGCGTGGTGTCCTTGCAAAGCACCTTTGTTAACTCGTTTAAATTTTCCAATCCACATTTATTATATGAGAGATCCCATGTTGAAACACTTTTTTGATCTTCGGAACTATGCTGGCTGTCTTTGAGAATTTCCTCATAAAGCTCTATTGATTTAAAAAAATTGCGTTGCCTAAAACATTCGCGTGCTTCCTCCCTTAAGTTCTCAAGAGTACTATTGTCCTGTACTAAAGTATTTGAATTTGTTGTATCAGATAAATAAAGCGGAGATGACGTCGTAACGTCAAGTGAATTTACAAGTGCGCTTGTATTATCTTTATGACTTGGGAAAATTTCGCTATCTTGTGATGATATTTCGATAGGATTGTTTTGACTCAATGTTTCATTAGTAATAAGTAGTTTTAAAGTATTAATAATCAAGTCAATTTCTGGGCGACTAGCAGGATCATTGTCCCGACATTTTTTGTAAAGTTCAATATATTGAGGTGGTGTACCTTCTATAGGTTCTTCTCTTTTTCCTTGGTAAATAAAAAACAGATCTCCATCTTTGATCCGAAGGTTTGAAATGGGGGCCTCCCACTTGAAATTTCCCAGAGGATTACTCCAAAGCTATATATATCTGATCTCTTATCACGTTTATATCCTTGCTTAATAAGGCATTGAGGTTCGATATATGCCGGCATTCTAATAGCGGTTGAATTTGAAGTCATGGACGTCTCATTTATCTGCTTTGATAGTCCGAAATCTGTGATCTTTGGCTTGCTTTGATGTATTAAAATATTCTTCGAATGCTATTAGTGATTAACGGGTCCGTATCATTTCACCAACAATCACTTCAAAGACACCCCATTTCATCGACAAGTTATATTACAGACAGATTAATTTACAAACAAGTTCATTTTGTAGATAGTGTAATTCACCGATGGCTCATTTCACTGACAAATTTAACCCTAGTGACAATAATTAGAATTATTTTGTCTGTGTAACGAGTTTCGGTAAAATATACTGCCTACGAAAACAACTTGAAATAAGCTTGTCGTGAAACAGAGTGTCTATGAAGTGAATATCTGTGAGTTGATCGGAATTGGATTAAAGTATTAGTAAATTAATAAATATAAAATTAAGTAAAACATACATAGTACAATACTTACAAGGTCTCTATGAATAATATTATTGTCATGTAAAAATAAAAGTCCGAGTGCTATTTCCTTAGCAATGCGTAGTTTATCTGTCCATTGTAATTTCGTAAAATTTGTTATTAGGTATTCTTGCAAAGTTCCTTCACTAGCATATTGTAAAATCATATTATAATATCCGTTGTTGTCTATATATTCAGTTTAATAAATATTTTTAATTAACATAATAATTATTTGATACCAAAAAATTATAAATCGTTTGTTTACCTTTCGTGACCCCATAGAACGTAATAACGTTTGGATGGTAACAAACTTTTCGTAATAAGTTAAGCTAGTTTTATGAATTATGAAAGTTATTATTCAGTAATAGGATACAATTAAAATTTCAACATAAAAATAATACCTCATTAATAAAATCTTTAATGGTTTTTTCATCTATACTTACATCGACTTTAAGGCATTTAAGAGCAACCGTTAATTCAGTGTCTCTCCACTCGTATTTAAAAACTTTTCCAAAACCTCCAATGCCTATCAATATAGGGTATGTAAATTTATTGTATTCGACATAATTAACATGCCC